TTTGCAACAACATGGATGAAGCTAGAGGGTATTACGCTCAGTGAAATAAGCCAGGTGGAGAAAGACAAGTACCAAATGATTTCACTCATATGTGGAGTGTAAGAACAAAGGAAAACTGAAGGAACAAAACAGCAGCAGACTCACAGAACCCAAGAATGGACTAACAGTTACCAAAGGGAAAGGGACTGGGGAGGATGGGTGGGAAGGGAGGGATAAGGGAGAGGAAAAAGAAAGGGGGCATTGCGATTAGCATGTATAGTGTTGGGGGGCATGTGGAGGGCTGTGCAACACAGAGAAGACAAGTAGTGATTTTACAGCATCTTACTATGCAGATGGACAGTGACTGTGAAGGGGTATGTGTAGGGGACTTGGTGAAGGGAGGAGCCTAGTAAACATAATGTTCTTCATGTAATTGTAGATTAATGATACAAAAAAAAATTTTTTTTAAAGCAATAGAAAAAAAAATTACAGAATGACATGCTTAGTGCTTGTCATCAGTTATCCCTAAGCCAAAAATCATTTACTTCTTCCTCATAACAGGAAGCCTCCCCCAATGATAGATAGCCCAGTGAGGCATGCTGCATTTTTTTTGTTTCACCTACATTGTCAAACCCTCACCCCCTCCAGTGCAGTCCACTGTCCATTCACGTAGTAAGATGTTACAGAATCATTAACTGTATTCTCTGTGCTGTACTACCTACCGTCCTGTGAACAACCTTTACTGTTATCGTGAATTACTGTGCCCTTTAATCCCCTTCTCCCTCACTACCGCCCACCTCTCCCCTCGGGTAAACACTAGTCCCTTCTTGATGTCTACAGTGTACTGCTATTTTGTTCCTCCTGTTTTGCTTTGTTTTTATACTAAACAAATAAGTGAGGCGCTCTACATTTATCTGTTTAGTGATAAGTCCATGAACCCCTTAAGTCACCCAGAGCTTGGTACTCAGAGGCTGAATGAACATCATCAACTTTCCCCAAACTTGTAGATCCTACAAATCCCTTGGGGGCATTTGTTAAAGTAAGATTTCTGGACTATACCCAGTTGTACTGAATTAACTCTCCAGGAGAAAGACCTGAGTACCTGATTTATTAACAAGCACCCTAAATGGCAAGTTTGGGAAATTACACCATTAAAAAAGGAGACAAACCCCAGATGGAGTCAGTTGTGCTAAGTCCATGTCACCAAAACCTAAGACCTAACACAACTGTAGTTTTGACCTCTCCAGGAATGTAATCTTATGCGACCAGTCTGGAATTTCCTGGTTAACCTTAATGAGGTATTTGCCTAACAGACCCCGTTTGCCCCCAAAGGAAGGTGACCTTGTCTAAATAATCCTTTTTTCCATTTGTGACTTCTTTGTACCATTCCTCTGTTTTAAAAACCTTTCCTTTTCTGTAGCTCTTTGACGCTCCTTTGTACTTGCTAGATGGGATACTGCCCAGTTCGTGAACTGTTCAATAAAGCCAATTACACCTTTAAATTTTACTCGGTTGAATTTTTGTTACTTAATAAAGTAAGTTACTTCAACTTAACACCTTGGAGGTTCAGGTGGCCCCGAAGACGGAAACTTCAGTTTCTCCAATGTTTTGAGAAGAGGGACTGAGGCCCAAGGTCACAACAGCTGGCTACTGGCAGAAGCCGATCTCAGAGCCAGGTCTCCTCCTCGTCAGCGCGCTGTCCCGGGGGCCTCACACCGATGCCGGCGGCGCCGAAGGCGAGGCAGCCCGGGAAGGGCACGAAGTCACAGCGCCAGGCGTCCGGGGCAGGCCGGGCCGGCCGGGAGCCTCACACCCATGTCCCCCAGCAAAAACCCGCCGTGGTCCCCAGGGAGGTGGCCATGGCTATGTTCCCACGGAGGGACAGGGCTGGGAATAGGAAATGAGAGGGTCTGGGGACGAGGCTGGACAGAGAGGGGACCTTTCGGGAGAGTTGGTCTCTCCTGCCACTAGAACGGCACTCACCTACGGCCCTGTGCTCGCTCCCGGCTTCGCCGCCGCTGCCGACTCCGCGCCTCGCGCCTATCGCGAGATGTCGAGGCTCCGACGACTCAGGGAGGGCGGAAGTGGCCGCGCCGAGCCCCGGTGCTGCCAGTCGCGGCGCGGTCGGCGGCGTGTCCGCTTCCAAAATGGCGGCGGCAGCGGTGACTGGCACGCTCGGCCGGGCGGGCTGGAGGCTCCTGCAGCTGCGGTGCCTGCCCGGTGAGGGGGCGGCCGAGCCGGCTAGCGGGAGGATCGGGGAGGGGGCACGAAGCCTCCCGGGCTGGGTGCGGGGCGGAAGAGGTCGTCTTGGTGGCCCGCAAGGTGAGGTGAAGGGCATTGGCGCTGAGCCGCCGGCGCCCCGGGCTTGAACGGGCCCCGCCTGGCTGGCTTCTGCGCCCCGTCTGGAACTGTAAGGGGCAGGAGCAGCCGGGCAGGGCCTGTCACTCCCATTTACTGGAGTTAACGGAGCCCCAGAGAGGGCGGTGGGTGCCCAGCGTCAGGCACCTCTTCAGTTGCGCACTGGCCGACTCCGTCCCATTTTCTTAAGTCCATTGCCAAGGCCCTGGGCCAGGACGGACGAAGTCGGAAGCAGCCGCAGAGAGCAACCAGTCCGTTGTTTCTTAAGTTAGTCATTTCCCTGCCACTTAAGTAATTCTGGGATATCCTCGTGCCCACCTGTATAGTTAGTATATTTGTTTATATGCTCGAGTTCTCAGAAATACATAGATGTTTACTTAAAAGAGAACACTTTATATTACTGCTATAAGCGGAAAATCAGTGTCACCTTCCATAAAGAGAATGTATGCATTGACACATTAACAAATGTAGAACTAAGAAATAAACATTCTCCTATAGCTTTTCTTCTTCCTTCCTAATTACAACCCTTAAATAGAATTCATGCCTCGTATCGAATTTACCGAGTATCATAATTCCTCCAAGTGGTAAAGATACCTCAAGACAAATGCTGGGCATAGAAGCCACAGGGCATAAATTTGCAAAGAAGTAAAAAGCCAGCCTTTTCAAACAATACGGCCTCTCCCTCACTTACCAACTTTACATTTCCCTGTATGGCCCTGGAAGATGACTGGTTAGCCAGAGACGGGTAAGATTCCTCAAGGGAGGAACAACCTAAGACAGGCACAGTCGCAGGGGGGCCATCAGGTGAGAAATTGGGGATCAACAGAGGTGAGGCTTAGAACCTCACCCTCCTGTTTTGAGAGAAATCTTCTGCATCCGTGGATGTGTTGTTGCCCTTGTCTAGCTTGGATTAATACTTAGTCTACAGGCACACACCTGATCATCTACATTTGCTCTGTTACAGCACTAAACTATGTTTTCTACCTTTATCTTGCATCTACCTACGACTTCAGCATTTTATTAAAAATAATAATAATAATAAAGGGAGAAATGTGGGATCCACATATAAATCAAGTATAAAAATCAAACGAATATTCATATTTGACATGATTGTTTATAGTTCATAATGCGTGATCAAAACTGAAAGCCTCTGTGATGACTGCCCTTGTACTGTTCACCATGTAAGAACTTATTCACTATGTAAGAATTTGTTCACCATGTAAGAACTTGTTCGTTATGCTTCAGAAGATTGGAGACTGACGAGAATTAGGCTTGGGGTGGATTAATGATTGTGCATTGAGCATTGACTCCCCTATACAGAATGTTATTGTTGTTAACCATTTGATCAATAAATATGAGAGATGCCCTCTCAAAAAATAATAATAATAATAATAATAGCTCATTGTGACAGGTATGGAAGCATTAGCCTAGCAGTAGGCCGATTACATCATCAAGCAGTTTAGGTTCGGGTGAGGATCGTAGCCATAGAACTTCCATTTTCCCCACAATATACAACTAGATAAGCAGTTGCAAAGCTCTGTTTGGCCAGTAACTATTCAAGACAGAATACGAACTATGGCTACTGGAAGTGCCAAATGCTCCAGTCCTTATCTGACTGCTCCCTTTCCATGGCCTTACAAAATGAGAGAACAGGGAAGATATTCACCAAAAAGAAACAGCGATACACATGTGGCTTATCCAGCAAGGCGAGTTCTTAGAACTAAGGTATTCTGGAGCTGATGGAAAGAGGAAACAGAGCAGCCCAACCAAGAGGAGAAAAACTTATAGTGCTGATTTCTGTTCTATAGAATGTATACTTGTGCCACAGCAATTGACCAAAAGGTACCAATCCCCACAAACAATAAAAATGATGATGATTTATAAAAAAAAGAAAGAAATATTCTCCTGTATTTCACTTCGAATCTTGTGAACTAAAGTGACTGCACAATTGTGCTTTGGGACCTCCCTCCTCTTCAAAGTTTTATGAATATTTGCTCCATTTTTTTCTGTACATAACTAAAATATTGATATTTTTATTCATACTATTTGTTTCTTATAAAATAATTGTTCCCTGAGTTATCCATAGATTTTTTTAAATGTGTGCCTTTTTGTTGTTTTTGTACAAAACTCCAATGTGTTAAATAAAAGTAGTGCTTATGACTGACCCAGAAATCTCATTTACCCAAGAGAAATGAAAACATATGTCCCCAAAAAGGTTTGTACAAACGTATTCATAGTTACCTTATTCATAATAGTTAACACTGAAACAGCCTAGTTGTCCATCAATAATGTTTCTTAATGGAATACAACTCAGCAATTAAAAGTGACAATGATTTACACAAAAATATAAGAAGCAAGAAGTCTTACACAAGAAGGTCATACTGTGTGATTCTATTTAGATGAAATTCTAGGACAGGCAAAAATAGGGTGAAACATTCAGAACAGTGTGGGTGGGGAATGACTGGGAAGGAACCTGAGGGAACATTGTGATGTTCTGTCTAGTTGGGGGTTCAGGCTATGCAAGTGAGTACATGTGTCAAAACTCAGAATTGGCACATTTGAGATTTGTGCATTTCATTGTGTATAACTGTCCCCTCTAAAAAAGAACAGGAAATAAATGCCAATGTCTCGTTAATGATACGTATGCTGAAATGTTTATAGAGGTGAATACTGAGGTCTGCAGTGAATGCATCAAAAAAGACAGATTGAGGAATGAAGGTGTGATGGATATATGATATGTAGATCCTAAGTGTTCATGCCACAATTCTTTCAACTTGTAGTTCAAAAGTTTTGATAATAAAATGTTGGGAAAGAAAAAAGTAGTATGAGCCTGCACTTTCCAAAGCAAATGGGATGTTGAAGCATAGCAGATGAGGAAACAGACACCATATAAACACTGAGTCAGTACTCAGACCTTCCAATTTTGTCCAGTGCTCTTGCCATAATATGTAAAACTTTTTGTTTTGGCTTCACAGCATTCATTGAGCAAATAGAGATCATTCCTCCTAATTTGCATATTATAAAATCATGTTCTTTGGGGTGAAGTGATTTGCCCATTACCACACAGTAACAATTGATAGAAACAGGCCTGGAAGCTGGGTCTTCTGTTCCCTGGCTTGTAATTTTGCCACCACCTCATGTCACAAGGTTGTCAGTTTACCCAAGATTTTTGTCTGGGCTGCAATATTTGCATAAATTCTGGAGTAGATTCTGCCCATGTTTCCCTCTTCCCTTGACTGCACGCCACTCTGGGTCTCAAAGGGTCTTCTTTGTTAAGTGTCCCTGACTGACCAGCCCAGTTTGTGTTTCAGTGTCCCGCTGCCGACCAGCCATGGCGCCACGTGCTTTCCATGCTTCAGCAATGCAGCTGAAGGCTTCAGATGAGCAGAAGCAGCAGTCTCCCCCCTCTTTTTCTCAGCAACATTCTGAGACACAGGGGGCAGGAAAACCCCACCCAGACTCGTCTCGTTCACCCCCCAGGTAGGCATCAGAACTGTAATCTGTTTCTGGCCATGTTGCATGCTTGGGTATATGTGTGCTGCCTCCCCTTTTTTCTTTTTATCCCCCTTCCACCTGCCATCATTTTTAAGGCTGTCTTTGAAGAGAACCTATTTTTTGTTGAAAATTGTGCCTGTACATTTTAAAACATCTAAACAATACGGAGTTCACAAAAATTAAGCAAAAATTACCAGAAGTCACTAACTCATCTATAACTGCTAACATTTTTACAAACACCCTTTTAGATGTTTCTCTAAGCTTATTTCATATATAAACCTGTGATGTAATAAATGACCAATTATACTATGCAGGCTGTTCAAGAACCCATTTTTTCACTCAGCATTACCTTTTTAATGTCTTTTCACAGTCTGTATTATTTTAATGGTTGTGTAATATTTCAACAAATGGCAGTGCCAAAATTTATTTAATTTATCTTTTACTGATGAATATTTAGATTTCCTTCACTGGTATGAAAATGTGATAAAGTGCATGATTCAGCAGTGGGAGAACTGAGTTTAAAGATGTGCATGTTTAATGTTTTGTTACATGTATGGGGCCAAATTGTCCTCCAGGAGGTAATAATAGTTTACATTTCCATTAGATGTTTTTTCTTTTTAATTTTGCCACTGAGACATTCCTCTAGCTCTGAAATTAGACTGTTCCTAGTCATTTTCTTGGTTCTCCTAATTAAAGTACTTTTTATTGCAATTCAGATATTTTTTGAGGGTCTGCTTTGTGCCAGGCCTTGTGAATAATATAACCATTGTCCCTGTCCTCATGGAGTTACAGTCTGATGCAAATACAGATAAGGAAACAGTGTGCTGAGGGCCGTGAACAAGGAAATTCAGGTGCTGCATTTGCCTTCTTATCACATGACCTCCTCATTCACTGGATCCCTTCTCTCAGTGACTGTATGAGGGGAGAAGAATGATATGATTTTTATTCTGTTGGCATTGAAACCAATACTGGTGCAAAAGTAAATGTTTTCCCAGCATGTGCTTAGGGGAGGCACAGAGCCTCTGGTTTGGGGTCAGGCAGCAGGCAGTGAGATGCGGTGTGCTGGCTCCATCCCCTGTCTCTCTGGGATTTGGGCCTCAGGTACACAGATCAGGGCGGTGAGGAGGAGGAGGACCATGAGAGTGAGGAGCAGCTGCAGCACCGCATCCTGACGGCAGCCCTGGAGTTCGTGCCTGCCCATGGGTGGACAGCAGAAGCAATCGCAGAAGGAGCCCAGGTGTGTCTACGGGAGACTGGGGCAGCCTGACCAAGATAGCTAGGAGGGAGTCATGCCAGCCAGAGGGCTTCATGCTTTCTTCTGGTCCCAGTCAGAGCCCCTCATTGCTATAGGATTTTCTAGAGGGATTTGATTTTTTCCAGTAGGATGAATATGGCTTTATTTTTTAATATAAAAAGAATATACCCTAGAGTTGGTTCTTGGGAATTAGGTTCTAAAGGCAACCCATTAGGCAAGGACTGCCTGTACTCAAAACTACCATATTTCATTGCATCTAAGATGCCATTGGTTGTAAGAAACACCATTATTTTATCACTATAAAAGAGAAAGTGCTACCTGCTAAACTAGGACACATCATCAGTTCAACACATCATCAACTCAGTTTCACTGATTTTTAAAACTCCCAAGAAGTCTCCCCTGTGGCGACCAGCACACTTATTTGTCTCAATAAGACCAGCAGCATTTCCTCTTGCATTGGAACAGATTGCTGCTTTAGGTTAAGCAATAGGCTCATGTTTAGGCCAAGCTGTAGAGAATTCAAGCATAGCTAGGTACCATCCTACAAGAGGTCTGTGAGAACAGAGAATGAAGGAGCTACACTTCCCATCTCACTCTCACGGGGACATGGGATGGAAGTTGAGCATGTTTGAACACTGATGGGAAGAGTGCAGAAATGATGGTGACGGTTGACATATGAGAAAGAAGCAAAACCAAAAGCATGTGGTTCCTTGAAGGCAAGAACTATGACATCCAGAAAATAGGTGGCAGGTCTGGCCTTAGATGGATTGGGCCAGAGTTGGTGAAGACAGCTGCAGGTTTAGAGTCTAGAAGAACATTGAGGGAGTTCCCGGGGGCGGCTTCTGTTTTCTCTGAAGGAGGTGTGGTTGTTTTGTGAATCTAAAGTTAGGGAAGGATGGGAGGAGACAAAGGTAGCAGAGAAGGTGCAAAGGAATCATTACAGAAAGTGATGGAACAAGTGGAGGACAGACACGTAATGGGATTGTTTGGAAAAGTCTGATCATACTGCATATTCTGTGGTTAACTGGCTTTTTTACTCTAAATACCTTCATTCATAGTGGCCACATAATACCCGCTATATTGACTTGACCACAGTTGATAAACATTTGGGTTGTTTCCAATTTCTTAGTATTAAAAACCTATTTGTATGACATATTGAAGTGTCTTTCTGATTAGTCTCTTTAGGACAAGTTCCAAGAAGTGGAGTTGCTATTTCAGCGTGTGTATCAGTCAGGAGACAGACCACACTTGTTATTTGAATGGAGGAATTTAATACAAAGAATTGTTAGCTAAGTATAAAGTTGATAACCAGGCAACTGAAAAGATACAAAGCCCAGTCTAAGGTGCTATGGAGAGAGTGCCTGCAGGAAGGGCTTCCATCCCCAGGGCTAAGGGGACAAAGGGAAGCATTGGAATTATTAAAACTGGAAGCTTGAAGGAGTTTCCTTGTAGAGGTGAACTCAGCCCTCTGATGGGGAGGTGGTAGGCAGCTGGCACTGGTGTGTCAGGGTCCCTTGGGCTGGCACCTCACCTCTGGGGCTAGGAATAGTGTTGGTGCAGTTGGGAGGGCAGGGAGAGAACGGTGTGGCTTGATGAAAGTAGGCTGGCAAGTGTTGAGAAAAATTCAGACTGGGTTCAGCCACTGCCCCACTGCCAGGGGAGGGAAGGGCTGCTGGTGGGTGAAGCAGCATTGCTGGGCTGACACTCCCAGAAGCCACTAGTGGATGGGAAGTAAACAAGTGTCTCCCTCTTCCAGCCTTGCAGTCTCCCTCTGACACAACTGGCAGAGCTCCTGGCTTCACAAATGGGGTTTGCAGAGGCCTGCCTAGCATCACAAAACTGAGAATAGGAGGGTAGGTTTGGAACTGAGAGATAGTAACTCAGTAACTGGCCCAGAGAGAGGGCGTATTTTTTTTTATTAAGGTATCATTGATATACTCTCTAATGAAAGTTTCACATGAAAAACGCTGGTCACTACATTCACCCGTATTATCAAGTACCCCCCCACACCCCCTTATGCTCACTGTCCATCAGCATAGTAAGATGTCACAGAGTCACTACCTGTCTTCCCGTGACCCCACACACACCATGTGTGCCAATCATAATGCCCCTCAATCCCCTTCTCCCTCCCTCCCCACCCCTCCCCTTTGGTAACTGCTAGTCCCTTGGAGTCTGTGAGTCTGCTGCTGTTCCTTCAGTTTTGTTTCATTGTTATGCTCCACAAAGGGAAATCATTTGGTACTTGTCTTTCTCCACCTGTATTTTTTAAGTTCTTGTTATGTACGTATTAGAGGCAATATAGCCTGATGGTTAGGAGCTTTAAGCCTCAGTTTTCTCATCTGTAGAATGTGGATGATGATCTTCCCGGCTGGAGTTGCTGTGAGGCTGCAACTCTGTGGCTGTTGCGAATACTGCCAAATTGCCCTCTGTAAAGGCTGTGTAGCTCCACCGGAGAGAAGTGCCGTCCCCACTCCCAAGAGTGGGACTTCGTAGTTAGTAATCCTTTTGTTCCTTTTCTGCCCTCTGTCCCTGCTGCTGTCAGGGTTCTGGCACCAGTACATGCTCAGTGACTGCCATTTGTCAGGACTAACAAAGATCTTCATGGTTTTGTTAACTCCTTAGCAACTCCTTAAGAAGAGTTTTTTTTTGTTTTTTTCTTAATAACCGAGAAACCTGATTTCTGAGAGATTTAGATTAAAGGAATTGGTGAGGAAGAGAGTCATTTTCTCTTTCTGAGCCCCTTTTTATATACATCAAGACTCCAGGTTCTAAATGTCAGAACTCGATTCTAATTGGCTCAAGCAAGAAAGGGAGTGTTTTGGCTCCTGTGGTTACAGAGAAGCCTGGAAGTAGCTCAGCCCTGGCATGATGTTCTTCGGTTGTGCTGCTGGCACTATCTCTACGTCATAGTGGCTTTGCTTTCCTCTCTGTGAGCTTCATTCTCAGCAGGGACTTCCCAGGCAGGACTAAAAATGGCTCAGCAGCCCCAGTGGCAAAAAAGCATCTCTTTCCCATCAGCACTGGCAGAAGTCCAGAGGTGGCCTCGCAGGGCCTGGATTTGATCAAGTGCACAACCCTGAGCTGCCTGCTGTGGGCTCGTTATCCAAGTCTGGATCCTGTGCTTTGCAACACATCAGGGGACTTGATGGAGTGTGGAGGGACTGGTGGTCAGCTCCGCCCAGATCACATGCACCAAGAGTGAAGAGCTGGGGGTGTCCCCCTGGAAATTAAGCTGCTTATACTTGAAGAAGAGGAGCTAGTGATGAGCAGGCAACAAGTGTCCACTGCATTTGCCCTCACTTTTCTGTCTCTCCTCTCCCCTTTTATAGTCTCTGGGTCTCTCCAGTGCAGCAGCCAGCATGTTTGGAAATGATGGCAGTGAGCTGATACTGCATTTTGTGACCCAGTGCAACACTCGGCTCACCCATGTGCTGGAAGAGGAACAGAAGCTGGTACAGCTGGGCCAGGCAGAGTAAGTCCTATGGCATTATTGCTCAGGGTGGCAGCTAAGGATCAGGAGAATCAGGCCCCACAGTTATTCCCAGGCCAATCCAAGCAGAACCAAGAAAGAGTAGATTGAGCAGCCTTGCTGCTTTGATGGGACTGAAATGCAGCTTCCTGTCTCCGACAGCTGTAGTCGTCAGGTGCTGGGGATGTCCTGCCTAGGGCTGAGTAACCAGTATAGCACTGAGCCCATGCCTTTGACCCAGAGACACACTATTTTCTTTTCCCTCTTCCAGGAAGAGGAAGACAGACCAGTTCCTGAGGGATGCAGTGGAAACCAGACTGAGAATGCTGATTCCGTACATTGAGCACTGGCCCCGGGTACAGAGTCCAAATCTAGGCTCCAGGGCAATAGCGTATTAATATTTATAATTCTCAGGACCTTTCACTTAGTGGATCTTGCATACTATTCGGAAGTTTTCTCCTTAAGTTCCACAAACCCAGAGATACTTCCATGCACTTAGCTAGAGCTAAGTTTCAAAGTTGGGAGTGCCAAAGAGTAACTCCGAGCCATCTGTATCTTAGTTTCTGGAAATGTGAGTGGCCTGAGTACCAGATCACATCTCAGGTGGGGCTAGTGGCCCAAGTGTGCCTCCAGGTCTTCAGTGAGGAGGAATCCATGAAGGAGATTTGAAAAGTGAGATTGTATTGACCATTGTCATTACAGGCCTGTTGTGTTCTAGCTTTCAGAGGACTGGGACTTTTTCATATTGCCACTATGATGCTTGAGAATTAGAATATTCATTCCAAGGACATTCCACCCTCTCCCCTGCCTCCCACCTTTTCTAAAGCTTCCTTTTTCCTATTTCAAAGCATGTCACAGCATGGGCCTTTCTGTCAGTTAAGAAAGCAGAGTCAAAGCACATCAGAAATGGGAGGAATGCAGAGATTCTCTAGTGTCCTCTGCCCAGCTGGGAGATCTATCGCACATGTACTTTCAGCCAGTCAGTTTGTAGACATCAGAACACCTGTAGTATGCCTGATCCCAGGCTGGGTGTGAAGGGAGTACAGTGAGAGTCAAATCCCACCCCCTGCCTGTGCTTGGCACATTTGTTTTGCAGACCTGTGGCCTTGGCTTATTTCAGCTTGCAGTTAAAGCAGTGGAAGTGCATGTGTTGGGCCCTGGAGACCTCCTGATTCAGCACATTTCCTTCTGGGCTGCTTCCATAGGAGAAAACTTTCCAGCCAATCCAGGACCTCTCTGACCAGCTCCCACAGACCACAGCCAGTGGATTTTAGAGTTGATAAAATGGCAAGACTTTGTACTGTTAGTAGTTAAGGTTTACTAATGGAAGCATCTCTGGGTTGTGCCACTGCTTGTATTAGTTGAAGGATTTAGAGTTTCAGGTAACAGAAATCATCTTGAGTTCAGCAAAAGCAACACAAAACAAAACAGGAATTTACTATGAGGCTGCAGTGGGGCATCAAGGCCAGGAATATTACTGGGTCCTGGGGAGTGGCCTAGGATTTGGACCTTGAAACCGACCCCCAACTCCCCTCTTATCTCTGCTTCCTCCATGTTCAGAATGAGTGCCTGCTCCCATCCTTGCTCTCAGTACTCTTAGAGAGACCAGGCTAGACCCTCTGGCTGCACTCTTAAGTCTACATGCTAGGGACTGAGAAGGTAATTGGGCCAGCTGAGAATTGGGGCTGCCCCTGGCTCCCGTCAGCTGTAGTCAGGGTGGGTAGCTGCTGGGAGCTCATCCCAGTGGGTGGAGATGGTGGCTCTCAGTGAGAGCTTGGCAGGCCCCTTACATACCTCTGGAGAGGTAAGGCACCAATCGCCCATGTACCGTTAGCTGGGTTCGGTACCTATTCCTCTGTCATTCTTTCCTCAGGCCCTCAGCATACTCATGCTCCCTCCCAACATCCCATCCAGCCTGAGCCTGCTTACCAGCATGGTGGATGACATGTGGCATTACGCTGGGGACCAGTCCACTGACGTGAGTGCTTTCTGCAAACCCACAGGATACCAAAAAAGGCTTGGGAAGAAATCTGTGAAATTCCTTACATCAGGGGGCCTGCAGTGTCATTCCCTTCTTGGAAAGGAGAGACTAAGGTATAAGGAAAGTCCCTCAACAAGGCACAGTGGGATCTGTGTCTGCATTCAGGGATCAGCACTCTAGCCACAAATTCCTTCCAGCATATGGAAGGCCTTGTGATTGGGCTGTCATTTAATGATCATTTTCCCCTCAGTCTCCTAAGATTAAGATTCTGCAGCAGACTCTCAGTGTGTGTGTTTCATGGGACAAATTTTTTTTTAAATGCCATGGAGACACCCATTGCTTTAAAAAGAAACTCCCTTCCCCCAGCCCATCTTGGCCTGCTTTGCTAAGAGATCAATAAGCCTTTAAACACTCACAGGAAAGAATCTGACTTGTTAATGCTATCATATTTTTGGTAGGAAACTTATAAAAAATATACCTTCATAAAAGAAATTAATATGTGATGGTATTTTGTGGAATCCAGGATGAGGAGGCAAAGAGACTCCTACCATTGCTCTAACAAAGCACTTTAATAAACTTTCCCCATGCGGGAATACACCACCAACAGAGATGGTAGGAAAATGAAATTAGAAAGCAAAGAAATTAAAGGAATAAAACATGAAACAGCTGAGCTAGTGCTCTGAAGAATAGTTTGCCAGGACAGTCAGAAGTTGCTGAGAGTTGAATGCTCAGCTCTTCTCAGGTATTTCTAATCTGTCCACGATTGCATCTCAGCCCTCACATAATACAACAAGTTTTGGTCATAACTGGCTGACCACAGAGCCTCCCTAAGAACTTAGATGTCCTAAGACAGTCATTTCACAGACTTGATATAGCAAAATCACCTGGGATGCTCATTAAACATCCAGATTCCTGACACTTTGTTCATATCTACTGACCCTAAATGAGAGAGGTTGGGCCCAGGAGCTTACAGTTTAATCTCCCAGATAATTCTGATGCCCACCCAAGTTCCGGAACAGTATTGTTGTACAGAGGGCCATAGGTACCTGTGAAGGAAAGAAGAAACCAGGCGGAAGCCTCTGAGTGCCCACAGCTTTGCGTAGGAACTACCCCACACTTGCCCCAGCCCACGGCAGTAATGGTGACCCACCTTCCTGCGCTGGTTTCTGTGCAGTTTAACTGGTACACCCGCCGAGCTGTGCTGGCTGGCATCTACAACACAACAGAGCTGGTGATGATGCAGGACTCCTCCCCAGACTTTGAGGACACTTGGCGCTTTCTGGAAAACCGGATTAATGATGCAATGAACATGGGCCACACAGCCAAGCAGGTAGGTGGGACTAATCATTTGGGAAGCCCCCTTACTAGGTACAGTGCCCTCCTTGGACCAAAGCTGGTCACTCATCTGTTCTCTTGCTCCCCTTTGGCCTCAGTTGACAGTCCTGAGGACAGCCCTTCCCTGAGAGCCTCACTTGCCCTATTTGTGGTGGTGGTGTCCATAGGCTGTTCTTCTAGTACACAGGGCCCTCTTGACTCCACCTGTTGAGGCTCATAGGTCTCCTGATTTGTGCTACCTGTTTGACCTTTGAGCTTCTGTTGGGGGGTTTATGAGAACCTGACTTTTACTCCTTCTAGATGAAGTCTACTGGAGAGGCACTGGTGCAAGGACTCATGGGTGCAGCTGTGACAGTAAGTTCTGCCCCGCTCACCTCTGCTCTCCCCCTCATCCCATTCCTGCCCTGTAATCCTTACAGCATGTCATTAACCCAAAAGCCTTATACTGGAAAGCTACTAATAAGACTGACAGTGGTTCAGCTCCAGTCTCTTTGTCCCAAATAACCCACCTCTTTATTTTTTGCTGGCATTAAGAAACATCACTGGCTCCCGGGACCCTTATATGTCAGATCTGGATACCATAGCCATGCCTGCCACCTTGAAAATCCTGATCTTCCTATTGGAGTCTGAGAGGCAGGGCAAGGCCTCATCATTCTCTCTCTTTCCGTCCCTGTATCAGCTCAAGAACTTGACAGGTCTAAACCAGCGCCGGTGAGCAGGAAGCTGTGTAAGCTAGAGTCCCCAGAAGAAACCCACAGATATATTTAAAGGGCTTTGAAAAGTATGGAGTGCCATCCACGGAACAGGGTATTAATGAGAAAACACTGAAGGACTCCTGAATCACCACCTGGAAACCACAGGCACTTGATGATACAGTTATAGCCCAGGACTGGGCCACATCTTCACTTCTAAATACTGGGCCAGGCCTCTTGATGCCTTTCTGCATTGCAGTGTGATTGAAAAATGAGGCTCTCATCAAAACATTCAAGCTACAGAAACCCAGCTCGTCCTTTTCATGGTCCCCCGAGCACCTTGATCATGTCTTAACCTTCATAGAGATGTTGTCTGGGGCTCCCAAGTCAGAGTCAGGGTCTGAGCCACCACAAGGTGGCAGCTCATCCCCCACACAGCACAGACTTGCGCACACAGGCTTGCAGCTCCTTCCCTCTCTGGTGTCCTGAAATGCTGCGCCTGGGAACCTCCTGAAAGCTGCCTCACCTGAGACAGGAACCTACTGGACGTTGGTGCTCAGCCTGGCCAGAGGTGTGATCCCAGGCCCTGTGTCACCTTACACCAGCGTGTGTTGCAGCATTATTAGTGAACCTAGAATCTGTAAAAATAATAATAATATGTTTGAAACAGTTTTCTGTTGTGTAGCTAATTTCCATATAGACCATAGGGGGCATCCAAGACCACAGAGGGAGGAACAGTGTTGTGGAAAAGGCTTGAGGCTAGCAGCCAGGGAACCTGGATTCTGGTCCTGGTGCTGCCTATGCTAATGGATAAGTATGGCAACTCTACATCTCTGTGCCCAGGTTTCCCATCAGTAAATGTGGGTGATGGGCCTTTGCCCTCATCATTAGCTCCCTTGGCTGCTATTGTCTGTCACTAACCATTTTGGTGATACATTCTTTAGTGTTAATAATTTTTTTCTGCTACACTGGCTGGGCTCCCTTTGCAAGTCTGGTTAACTCTGTTAGTCTGCTCAGCCTGCTTGTACAATACCATAGACTGCAGGTGCACTTCAAAAACAGAGATTTATTTTTCACAGTTTTGGAGACCACAAAGTCCAAGATCAAGGTACCAGCTAATTCAGTTCCTACTGAGGGCTTGCTTTCTGACTTACCACCTTGTCACTGTCTTCTCATATGGCTGTTCTTATAAGGATGCTAATCCCATCATAAGGGTCCTACCCTCATGACCTCCCAAAGACTACATCTCCCAAGTACAATCACATTGGGCTTCAGCATTCAGAGGCACACAAAGTCCATGGCATTTGTCTCTGCTTTGCTGTCTCCTATCTAAGTTGACTATTGATGGGTAGTGTCACAAGCTAACAGGTGTTTCCAGTCTCTTGTGGGCCTTCCACTGGTGCCTTTCTGCACCTCTCTAGTTCTTTTTATCTCCTTACACCCTGTCAAGTTCCCAACAATAGCTATCTCAAATTTCATTCCATTCTCTCTTTTATTCTTCATAGTAGCCCTCTTGCATTCAGCAGACAACTTTAATTCTTAGTTTACTGAGATGACACAGGCTGTAGAGCAAGGGCCCCCATAATGCCCTTTCTATCTCAGGAAGAGGTGGTATTCTTTTCTAAGGCAAACTCCTCTATCTGATTACTCTTCTGCCCCCTAAATGTAGTTCCTGCCAAGTTCTATTTTAGAGCCTCTTCTCTGCGTGAGCATCTGCCACCTTTTTGAGGTCCATCAAATCTCACCAGGCTGTTGAGGGGACTTTGGTAATTCCTTATTGAGCATTCACTCTATGAAGTGCACGATGCATGCGGGTGCAGAGATGAAGAGTCCCCGTCTACCCCCACAACAGTTACACAGAACTGTAGATGATGCATTGAAGTAAAGAGTATTGTAGCTTCCTGTAGTTTCAGAAGAGCATGATCCACACCTGAAGGTAGAAGGGAAAGGAGATATACCTATCATTCCACTATACTTTGCTAAAGTATACTCACTGCTAAGGTATACTTCTGTTTTCCCATAAACGTGCAAATTTACTCCATTCTTTTAAAGGTGTCACAGTATTTCTATGTATATTTAGGCAAGTCTATATCAATGGACAGTTAAGTTTTATTATCTTTCGCTGTTATGAACTGTGGTGAACTCCCCTGAACATGTATCGTTTGAATACAACTGCAGTATTTTGCAGTATGCAATCCCAGAAACGTTACTGTGAGTCAATAACCTGTGCGTGCTTTGCCAAATGTCTGCTCCAAGATGGTTGGACGTGGTGCATTCACAGCAGGTTGGGATGTAAAACGTCGGGCCTGGAGCAGTCCTGGCCTCCAGGCACCAGGTGGCGCTGTGGGCGCGTCTCCGCGGAAGCGGCAAGGGCCGCACTGGCCAACTTCCGGCGACAGCGGAGGAGGCGCAGCCAGGCCGAAGCGCAATCCCGGGCGGGCAGTGGGGAGAGATGCCGTATGCTAACCAGCCCACCGTGCGAATCACGGAGCTCACCGACGAGAATGTCAAGTTCATCATCGAGAATACGGACCTGGCGTAAGGCTGCGGAGGAAAGAGTCTTGCGGCTCTGGAGCTCCGGGGACAAGCCCGGGCGGGACGGGGGTCGTGTCCTTCCAGAGCTGGCCCCCGTGGCAGGGCTTTCGCCTTGGGAACCGTGGGGCGCTGGGCCGGCCTCGAGGCCGCGGCGCCCTCACACCAGTTGGTTTTCTTCCCTCAGGGTGGCCAATTCTATTCGGAGGGTCTTCATCGCTGAGGTGCCCATAATAGGTAAGCGAGCCTCGCCTCCTCGTTGCCAGGGTGACCAGTCCCCTCCGCGCCCTCCCACACAAACCTTGGGGTCTTGCCTCCGACCCTTGGTTTGGGCCGGGGGTGCGGGCGCTGGGAAAACGGCAGTGCTGGAGATTGGATCCGACCCTGTGTCCTTCGTCCAGGGCCACTTCTTGGTATCTCTCCGGCTCTCACAGGCCACCGTAGTTCCACTCTCACATACGTACGCACTGCTGAAGATCACGGGCTCAGGAGTCTGCGGACTTGGGTTCCCATACTGTTTTCAATTACTAGCCCTGAATCTTGGGCAAGTTATTAAACTGTGTGTTGCAGTTCTCTGTGTAACTTTCATACACAAATAGTATGTATCAGGGTGATACCAAGGGTTAAGTGAGGTAATCTCTATTAAGTGCCATGCGTTTAGTGAGTGTTAAGTACTAGTAAATGTTCTTTATGAATCTGTTCCTTCAGCTGCACTTATGGAGCAGATAAGTGTCAGACAATGGCGCCAGGCACTGGGATCGCAAAGCTGTATAGTATAGCGTCCTTGCCGTCACGGAGCTCACAGTGAAGCTGCAGGGGAGAGATGAATCCACAGACAACACCGATGTAAGGCAGACTTGCATCCATAATTCAGGAGAAGCATAGCTACAGTACTTTCAGCGCTAGAGGAGAGAGGATCTGTTTCTGCTCTGGGGCCAGCCAACTTGCTTCAGGTATTTCACAGTTACAAATGTATCACAGGTATTTTCTGAGAGCCAGCTTAGAAAGTTTGGGTTAGGAAAAGGAAATATAAGTCATAGCTGCTGCATTCATTGTGCAGACTCCTAAGGAAATAAGCAGGGCTAATGATTGGTAAACGAGAGAACGTGGTAGTTTATCCACCACTTCCACCCCCAGTTATTTCTTCAACTCAGGTTTGCATGCTGGTCCTCCCTCTGCTTAAGCACTCCATGTTTCTGGGCCTCAGTTTCAATGAGGGAGTTGGACTTAATGATGCAGCCCTGACATTCTGAATTTAAATGCCACATTTCCTACCTACAGAGTCAGTTCTACAAATAATATTGAGCACCTGCTACATTCTGGGCCACAGTAAGGAAGGCAGAAGTTAAGATTGCTAAGCATCCCACCCCAAGGAATTTTCAAAGCTTGAGTTAGAGACAAAACCTACACAAATTTAACAGAAGGCAAAATGTGACAAGTGTCTTAAGAAAAGTCTGGACAGAGTTTTGTGAGGGAGGAGCTTACAGGGAGAGAGGAATCATATCTGTATCATGGAGGGCAGGCAAGGCTTGGTTTATAAGAGGCTCAGGATTTTAATCTGCACAGGAGAGAATAAGAGCATGCCAGGGGGAGTAAAGAAGAGGAGACAGAAGCTTGGCTCATGGTACTCATTTGGGTTGGTTTGAGGAAACAATAGGAAGCATAAGACAAAGCAGGTTGGGGCCTGGCTGTATCTGGTCCTCTTCTGACCTCCATTCATGGAGTGCACACTCCTCATTTGGCAGCCCTCATTGGGCTCCTATACCAGTTGATTTATGAGTTTGTATACATGCAGATATTTATTTGTGAATGATTGAATATTTAAGTGTTTAAGTCCTTACCCTGCTATTTGCTCATTGCTAGTAGGGATTGGGTTTTATATTTAGCATGCCTTGCCCGTTAAAGGAATTCACTAAATTAGTTGAGTGATAACGTGTTAAATTAGGTAGTCTGCTCATTATATCATAAAATGGGATAATGGACTGTAAGTATGTGTTACTGCTGTGAGATTTTCCCTAACTTTTAAGTGCCAAACAGTGTGTGTTCTTGGATTTGGTGTTGGTGTGAATAGCAAAAGTGGGTGTGATGTGTGTGATTCTTGTTACAATGCAGATTCCAGTGCCCCACTCCAGAGTGGTGGAATCAGCATTTCTGGCAGCCTGGCCCAGGCCTCTGCTGTTTAGTAGGCCTTGGGTGATTCCTAAATCTTGAGAACTCTGCTGTAAGTCTGTAGGTGAATTTGGTAGCTACATTGCATGTCTGCTTCCTTCATGTTTTAGCCATTGACTGGGTTCAGATTGATGCTAACTCCTCGGTCCTTCATGATGAGTTCATCGCTCACCGTCTTGGTGAGTGCTGGGTTTTGGAGGATGAAAGAGGGAGGCTGTGCCAGTGTCAGAGGAGAAAGCCTCCTCACTCCTAAGGGGAATTCTAGGTTCTCCTTGCAGGCTGGCCATTCTGACCAATTTAAAGTGCTTTTCGGTTTCTTCCAGGATTAATCCCACTCACAAGTGATGACATTGTGGACAAGCTGCAGTACTCCCGGGTATGCTTCATGATTGGGTGGAATGTGGGGCAGGGGAAGCTGGGCCTTCAGCTATTAGGAATTTGTCTGACACACTGCTTCCAGCTTTTAGAAAAACAACATGGCAGTGTCTGGAGCCCAAGGCAGGCATTGGTCTCTTTGGTTCTGATGGGCCTCAGCTTGCCTAGGCTTGTGGGGCAGCAGGGATCTATTCAGCCAGCGACACAAGAAGCAGGCATACACCTGAATGTCTGTTTATATGCAACATCTGGGCTGTACCTTTTCAGAATCTGATGTGTTCAGAAACTCAGTGTTCCAGAGCTTCTCTTCCCAGGGATAGGCACCTAGGAGGCTAAAGGGGGTCAACAAAAGGTTGGAGGAGAGTTTTTGGTGAGGACAAGGAGAGGGAGTAGGAACTGGCCCACAGAGCAGTGCCTGAGGGGCTGGAGTCTGCCAGATTTGTGCCTCTCCCATAGGTGATGCTAGTTAAATGTGGCCCTCTTTCTCTAGGGCCATGTGTGCTCTCTGATAATACATTAACAGCCCTAGGATTAGGGAGAGAGCAGGACAAGATTTCGTTACCTGCATCCTTTCACCAGGGCTTTATTAGATAACAGCTTGAGACTATTCCTTCTTGGTGGCCTTGGATGAACCCATCCTCTAATATTCCCAACGGCATGTCATATTTATGGTGGCTAATTTGATGTCTTGTAAATATGTATATATTTAAATATTCAAGCACATTGAAAAGTACGGAGTTCATGTAACAAATTACTCTGCTCATACCAAATAATCTGCCACATTCTAACATTTTGCCATATTTGCTTCACATCTCCAGATTTTTGTTTTTAAGAAATAAAACATCAGAGGTATTAGTGGGAACAGTTGTAAAACCAATTGAAGAGCAGTTTGGCAATATTTTATATAAGGATATACACGTTCTGTGACCTAGCAGCTCCTTCCATTAGGTTTTTTCCTAGTATTACATTTACTAAGCAAAAGAGGAAAGTACAGAATAATACCCATCTACTTTCCATTTTCGGTTACCAGTTGTTAATATTTTGCTACATTTGCTTTATTTTTTATATATGTTATTTTTGCTGAAACTTTTGAAAAGAAAGTTGCAAGTATCATGACACTTCGCTGCTACTTCAGCATGTGTGTCTTAGGAATACAGATGTTTTCCTACGTAACCACAGTTAACCATGCCAAAGAAAATTAGCATGAGTTTGTAATACCTATTTACAGTCCACGTTCAGATTTTCCTAGTTCTCGCCAAATGTCCTTTATTGTTTTTGTTTGTCTGTGGGTCCTTAATCCAGCCAAGATTCATACATTGAGTTTGGTTTTTACATTTCTTTAGTATTCTTTTAATGTCAGACTCCTCTCTCTTCATCACTTTTTTTTTTTTTGAGGTTGTGTACCTTGCATATTGTGATCTTCCATTATATTTTGATTCTTCCATTTCATATTTCTAAGAGTGGTTCAGTACCAAGGGTCTAGGGGTCCTTCCCCTGTCACCTGTGTATGACCACAGACTCTCCAGGCTTGGCCTCTAGTTCTCCATCATCCTGTGGAAAACAAGAAAAGTAGGTTAGATTTCCCTCACTGGTGTGAGAGGGAGAACAGATTGCTTGATTACATTCTAGTGACTCTCTCCTTGCCTGAAGTTAAAATAGTAAATAGGTCCCAGCATAGGAATTAGCTGTTTCAAGAATCAGTTGTTTAAAGAATGGCCAACTGTTGATGACCATTGAACCTGGGTGATGGTTCCATTGTGGTGGGCTATTACACTCCTCTCTGCTTTTGTGAATGTATGAAATTTTCCATATGAGAAAGGTTTTTTTTGTTTTGTTTTAAAGAAATGATCACTAGTCTAGAACTTGAAAGGTACTTTTCTCTATTGTGACTGGTTCATTTTATTTTAAATGATTACATTCCTGAGCTAGTCCACTTAGGTCAAATGAAGTGTGAGCCATGAAGGGTGAAAGTATGTGGGTCTCTGAGGGTCAGGGTGAGATGTTAGCAGTGCATCACCCAGTGGTGGCCTGGCAGCTGATGGGGGTGCAAAATAAACATAGGTGCCAGCCTGTATGGGTTGCCCCTACTGGGAAGTGCCGGCACCTGAGCAGCTTGTCAGGCTGGTGTACCAGGTGGACATCTGACCCTTTTACACATGAAAAAAGGAACTGAGTATACGAAGCAGGATGCTCAGAATTCACCAGCTCTCCAGACTCAGTCCTGCCTCTCTCCCTTCTCCTCAGGACTGTACGTGTGAAGAGTTCTGCCCCGAGTGCTCCGTGGAGTTCACTCTCGATGTGCGGTGCAATGAAGACCAGACTCGTCACGTCACCTCTCGAGACCTCATCTCCAACAGCCCCCGGGTCATTCCAGTCAGTGCCTAAGAACATCCTGCTACCCAGGACCTTTGTTCTCCTTCTGGTTCTGAGCGGGCCACACGGGGGTGGATTCGTAAAAGTGGCTAACCTCTGCGTTACCCTCTGCCTTAACCTGAACCTGGCCTAGAAGTGCTGATAGTTCTGGACTCTTATCAGGGTGGGCAGAAGCATTTTTGATGGTGTGTGCCCTCTATCACTCAAGGAACCGTTTAAAGGCCAAGGTACTGTTTTGGCTGAGAAGGTTGTCACACCACCATGAAATAGGGGTTGGAGTCCAGTCATCAGTAGATTGGGTCCTAGTAGGTGCTTCCACCACCTCATTCCCAGCCATCCTGTCCTTGATTTGACAGGTTGCAACCTGGAGGTGCTAGAAGATAGTTGCCAGAAGAGGAGACTGGGAACATGAGCAGCTAATAAATGCCTCTGTTTGGGTTCCCCAGGTGACGTCCCGGAACCGAGATAATGACCCCAATGACTATGTGGAGCAGGACGGTAAGGGGCTGGCGAGAGTGTGTAGATACCTACCTGACCTGTTGCTCTGCAGGCCAGCAGGGAGGCAGATACCAGACACACCCACTTATGCTGCCTGGTCTCCTTATGGCCTTCGACGCATTTTTCCAGATGTGCATGGTCTTCCAGGGGCATTCCAGATCAGAATTTTGGAGGATCATGGCTCTCCTGGCCCTTGACGACTCACCTCTTCCCACAGACATCCTCATCGTCAAGCTGAGAAAAGGCCAGGAGCTGAGGCTTCGTGCCTATGCCAAAAAGGGCTTTGGCAAGGAACATGCCAAGTGGAACCCCACTGCCGGGGTGGCTTTTGAATACGATCCTGACAATGCCCTGAGGCACACAGTGTACCCCAAGCCGGAGGAATGGTATGTTCCCTCTGGGAGGGAAAGCAGGCATTTAGGATGAGTGGGTGTAGAAATGGCTCCTAGGAACCAAGAGGGGACAGGCTGATTTTGGCTCAGGTGCCTGGAAAGCAGTGCTAGCAGTGTGCTGACCCGTGTTCAACTTTAGGCCAAAGAGTGAGTACTCCGAGCTGGATGAGGATGAGTCACAGGCTCCCTATGACCCCAATGGCAAGCCAGAGAGGTAAGACCCTGGTCTAGCACTTGGAGGTAGTGGGTAGGACGTACAGTATTGGTGCAGCCTCTGAGTCAGGCAGCCCTGTGCCCTCACATCCCAGTTCCTGTAAGTTGAGTAGCTGATGACTGCTAAGCCCATGCTATATGCACATCCTGGGGCAGATTATCATCCCCCCTGGAGTCCCTGTGAGGAAGAGGGGCCCTCCAGTTAACCCCCAAAGAAGGGTATCAACCTAGGACCAGAAATTCTGACCAGTCTTGTGATGAGGAACAGGATAATGCTGTGGAGCATGTGACACTGCTCACTTGATTCTCCATTTTCCCCTCTGTGGAATACGTCATACAGAAGTGTGAGGTTTACACAGTATCTTTTTGAGTTAGCTCCTTGAGGTCCTGTACAGTGCATGGGACCACTGTTTGTAGGCAGTGGAGATCAACCCTGGGGCAGAGTCCAGTTCCTGGTGGGAAAGGAGTCAGGATGGGAGAGGGGGTGGCCAGTGGCCAGAGGTTGTGCTAGCTAGCCTGCCTTGTGGAAGGCTCACTGGACTCTTGCCTCTCAGGTTTTACTACAACGTGGAGTCCTGTGGCTCTCTGCGCCCGGAGACCATTGTCCTCTCAGCCCTCTCCGGATTGAAGAAGAAGCTGAGTGACTTACAGACCCAGCTAAGCCACGAGATCCAGAGTGATGTCCTAACCATAAACTAGCTGCAGCTCACCTGCAGTAGCAAAAAGGGATCTGAGCCAGCAGCTGGATTTCAGATTTCCTGAGGTTCTAGTTTCTGGGGTCTGGATAGTTGCTGCTCAAGCTTCTTGGTAAAGCCATCAATACCAACGAGAAGGCAGCAGTGGGAAGAGTGAGCCCATCCCAGCCTTGCTTAGCCGCAGACAGAGTCCCAGGGGGCCACTGATATTTGAGGCAGGAGTCTTTTGAGCACCACTGGCCCTGCCTGCTACTTGCCAGTAGCACTTCCCTTAACCCTACCCTGTTTCCTTAGTGTGCCGATGGGCCGGGTCATAACTGCTCTGTTGAGAGCCACTGAGCTGGACTCCCCTCCTCTCTGGTCATCTCAGCTGTGCACATCAAACCCTTTCTGACCAAAAGTTGGGATTTTCAGTTGTACCTTAGGTGTCTGCTGTTCAGGTTGAGAGCTACACTCCTTCTTCAGGTTGCCTACAAACTCTTTCAGTCCCTGTAGTGGCATGTAGTGGGACTTCAAATTGCCAAGTGAATTTAATTGGAGAACCCTTTGAGAATAGTGTTAGATCCTGACTGCCCCCAGCCCCATATAAACTATTTCATTCTCTATCCATCAGTTAGGAACTTCATTGCCAGTAGCCCAATTATTTAGTTCAGAGGGTTGGAGGGCAAGGTCTGTCCTTGACCCCTTTTCCCTGTAGGCCGGAACATACCCAAAGCCATATTTGTGTACAGCCTGGCCAGAGAGGCCTGGAGAAAAGCAGAGATCCAGTACAGAAAAGGAAGGGATATTTATTAACAAAAGTTGTCTTTTTAAAAGTTTTTATTTTTGGCAATAAAGAGCACAACATAATCTCCTTCATGCGTCATCGTGCCACTAGCTTAAGCCAACCAGCTCTGCTTCCCTGTCCAAGGCCTTTGGCCCCTGGGCTCCCTTCTCTAGCCTAGCTTATTCGGAGGGGGAGGTGGGGGCAGCAGCGTCGGCTTCATTCCCTGGGTCAGGTTCAGAGCTGAGCTGGCTGTGGCCACCTCTCTGGCTCTAGGGCTGTGTTGGAGGGGCCTCTTTATCACCCTCCTGCCGCAACTTGAACAGTGGTTATTTACAACAAGTTCTGTTCCCACAAATGAGAACCCTAAAGTATTACAAAAAAAACAAAACAAAACACACGCAACCAAAGGTTTGATGTGAATAGAAAGATAGCCCTTCTGCACAGTAGTCAATAAATACCAGCACTAGAAAATCAATTGCTTTAATTGCATTTCAGCAGGGAGCCTCAGCACCATGTGGGGAGGAGGAAATGGAAGGGCTCAGTTTCTGAGTGCTTTGGCTGGCCAGCCAGTGGCCAGATGCAGGCAGAGGAGCTCCCTGTGCTGGGGCATCGCCCACCCCTGGTCTGTGAGGCAGCAGGGATGCTCCCCACAGCAGTACACCCCAGCCTTCACTCCTGGCCCAGCCCTGGGACAGGAAAGAGTTCGGCACTGGCCATCCTCCACCTGGTTGAGTTAACCAGCACCCTACACCCAGGGCATCTTCTCAGCCTACTAAAGCAGGAAGGATCCTGGGCAAAAATTACATGTAAAACCAGATTTTCTCCTGAGGTGCCAACCAGATGTCACCTGCTTAAAACTCCCAAGTGCAAGGCTACCAAGTGGTGCAGTGTAAGTTTGGGTCCTTCCTGTGCCACTCTAGGTCCAGAGGAACTGAGAAGCCACCTGCTGTCTTAGCCCCTGGGAAAAGCCAGCAGTCAGGGTACCAGCCTTGAATTCTGACCGTCTCTCTGCTCTGGCCCTGGCAGCAGGAGGGCTGTACCATGGAGGACAGGAAATAGCTGCCCTCATATTCAGAGACAGCCTTGACTGTGACCTCGTCATGGGATTAATAAGTGTGTATGTGGTGGCAGGGAGGGACAGGGAAATCTCATTAATATAGAATATGTCATAGCCATATATATTAAAATCATTAACAGTATATAGTCCCACGTAACTCCAGCCCCTCACACACATGCTCAGGTGCTGTGGCCAGCCCTCTGTCTTGGTCCAGCCTCACCCTGTGGGCAAGGGACAGCTTGCTCCCTTTCTTGGGGCTCTTGGCCAACAGCCCCTTGAGGCTGTCCACAGTACACCGCAGTCAGCCCCGCAACAGGCAGCCCCAGTAGTCGGTGCATGCCAGCCCTTGTGTCACTGAGATGGGGTCTTGGCCTCGCTGCTGTCCCCCTGGCTGGGCTTTGGCTTTAGCAGGATGAATCTGTTGAGGAGGTCCGTCTCTGAGCTGGCCTGGGCTGCCCCATACCCCTCACCTGTGGATACAGAGGCAGGCTCAGGGCTCAGGTCCTGGTCAAAGACCCCTGCCCAGAAGGCCTAGTCCTCCTCAGACCCTGTGGCAGGTGAGTGTGAGTCTCTGCAGGGACTCACCGGCATAGCTGGAGGCCTCGGCGATATTCTGGGAACCTGTGATATGGTGCCAGTACGCACTGCGGGGCAGCATGGTAGTGGGCGTGCAGGGGTATGAGTAATGTTCTGTGCCCTTGTTCAGCAGCTGTGGGGCAAAGAAAGGGGTTCCTCCCGTTAGTCCTGGGGCGGTGGCTTACCTCCAAACACCCTGCCTGCCTCTACTGTACACAAGCTGCAGACACCAAACTCCAGGCACCCGCCCTGCCTGCCTACTAGGCTTCCCTGTACCGTGGACTGAGACGCCCACTGCCTCACCCTCACATTCTTCTCCATTTCCAGTAGGACACGCTTGTGCTGCTCAGCGATGGCCAGGGTGGCGCTGTGGACCCGCTGATAAATCTGTTCCCCCTCCTGTGTCTGGAAGGTGTAGAGCCCTTCCCCAGCATCACACATCCTGGGGACACAGGTGGTACAGAGGGCAACGTGGTGAGGACCCAAGCAGTGGGGTTCTCCTGCACACACTGGCTGCACCCCAGGCCCTCCAGAGAGCAGGCAGGCTATAGTCCAAGGGTCTGACCACACAGTTCAAACGTGCTGAGCATTTTCTATTTACCAGGTGGCGATCTGAATGCTTTATAAGAACCCATTCAGTTTTCTCAAACCATTTTACAGATTAAACTGAGGCATGAAGAAGATAAGTAACTCAACCAAGATGATAAAGAGGATTATACAGAAGTCTAGGCAAACTGGTTCCAGAGTTCAAACCATGGGTTACCCAATCCTCAACATAATTCTAGGAGGAGGGTACTTTTACTATACTCTATTTGACAGATGAGGAAACAGACTCAGGTCCACAATCAGAGCTGGTAAGTGCCAGTACTAGCATTTTATTTGAGCCCAGTTTGATACTTAATAGCTGCACTGGACCTGCTTGCTATAAACCTCAATTTCTTCATCTTATAAAATGGGAATATTACATTCCCTTTTGGATTATCACGCTGATAAATAAACTCCCAGCACATGCCTGCCAGACTGAAAGGCAGCCACCATCATGACTATGGGGGGACAGTGGGGAGACAAAGGTCCTACCGGCCAGCCTCGAAGGTAAAGCGTGTGGCATCCCGGCCATAGCGGCGCAGTGAACAGAGGGGCCATGAGACGAGCTTCACACGGGGGTTGTGTATGTCCCAGAGGTAGATGTTCTCGTGGGTGATCTGCAGCTTACACTCGCCATACACGTCCAGGTTGGGGCAGGGTAAGAGGAAGACGTTGAAGCGATCTGGAGAGGGAGAGGATGAGCAGGCCTGGAGTTTCCCAGGGGAGACCTCCTCCCCTCCTTTTTCCCACCCCCAGTGCCAGGCCTCACCTGTCTGCTCACACTGCACCCCTGGGGCCAGGAGGTCCGGCTCTCCCAGACTGATGTCATTGAGCCGTGCTCCCAGACACTCCACAGACAGTGTCTTGTACCATTCCTCCGCCTCCAGCTCTGGAGAAAATAGCACCTTGTCACGCTGCCAGCCCAGGATCCCCCAGAAGCCCATGCCATCTGCCTCAGCCTCAGTTATCCTAGCATGCAAGGCAGGGAGAGCAAGTCCAGTGGACTCTGCCTGCCTGCCCCACCTCATCCTGGGGGCTCCCTCAAAGCCCCCCCAGCCTCCCCCACATCATGCCCAGCCAAGGCCAGCCCTGCTCTACGTCTTCCCCACTGGGCTGCTGAACCTCGACTAGCCCAGGGTAGGCTGAATGGAGGCCTGAAGCCCCAGCTTCTCACCGGAGTCGCAGGTGAAGGTACGTGCTGAGTCGTCGGTGAATATGATGGCCACCGCCTGCCTCTTGGTCTCCTTGGGGAGCCGCGTGACACACTTAACATTGCTGATCTCAGTCACCTGGGACAGCATCCACAAGGGACTCAGCCAGGCTGACAGCCTCCCTCTGCATCCCCCACAGTTCTGCCACCCCCAGGAGCGTGCTCTCAGACCACCAGACTCTTAGCAAATGATTATTGCTTATGGGGGATGGGGGTGTCGGGGAGGAACTAAGGGGGCCCAGGCCCCTAACCTTAGGGCAGCCTCGGAGGCACACTGACTTCTCATCTGGATACTTCTCCAGCCGCTGGGGCCCCTTGCTGGAGGATTTCCGGAACACTAGCCAGCACCTCCGGTAGATCTGCGGGGCAAGATGGTAGGATGATCAGGCCTCCCGGGGCTACTCCCACCCAAGGTGGCCCTGAAGTTACCCCTGCCTGCTGCAGGGGGCAGTGCCACACAGCTTTCCCTGAGCCCCAGCCCAGGAGAAAACCTGGGGACAGCTGACACCAGCAGTGACACCCTCCTAGGGCAGAGGTCCCCTCCTCAGATTGAAAAGGCAGTCATTTCTTGGCTGGCTCTGAAAGGTTCCATAAAGGTGCTTGTGGAGTCACCCTTTGCTATGTGCTCAGCTCTGGGTAAAGTTATCCATAGCCAACATTTATTGAGTGCTTCCTATGTGTACTTTTTCTTACTGGCACTCTTCATAGGGTTACTCTTGAGGTCAATTCGATTATCATCTCCACTTTATAGATAGGGAAACTGAGGCACCAAAAAGTTAAGCAAGGTCTAATAAATAGGGGGAGCTGGTATTTAAAGCCGGCAGTCTAGATCCGCCACTGATACTGGAAACCACTGCACACATTCTGCCAGAGCTCCAGTGGCACCAGTCACAGCAGAGGGAGTGCCTAAGGACAGGGCTTAGACCCTTGCCCACTCCCAGCCTGCACATCACCGCAACCCTTGTTCTCAGAGCCTAGAAAGGCTCTTACTGTGGATAACACCCCCTCTCAGCAGTCGCCCTCTCTCTTCATTCTCTGACCAACCCAGGAGTGTAGGAAGCCAGGATCAGTTCCCTGTTCCAGCTGGGAAACCAGAGGTTTTCAGAGGTAAAGGGGCAGAGTCAGGAACCTGGGGTTATCCCAGAGCACCATGCCTTCCCAGGCAAGGTTCCCTCGTCCAACCACTGCCAATGACCCTGTGCCTACAAGCACCCAGATTCTCTATAGTTCATGGACTCAGGAGGGGCAAGGAATGAGAGAGCGGGGAGCCCATCATGCTCTAGGGGCAAACTGGCTGATCAAACCTGCCAGGGATTGGCCCCGCCACCTGCCAGGCTGCTGACTCTTCCTCCCATGGCCTCTTCCCTCCTGACTCAGGCTTTCCTCCAGCTCAAAGTCTAGCTGGGCCATACTATTTCAGCAGGCACTCCAGAAGTCTGGCAAAGCCCACTCCCCAGGATTCTCTGGTGCTCCTCTCACTGGCAAACAGGGAGACTGAGGGCTGCCCAGAATAGAGCAGGGAAGGTAAGGGAGCCTCTGGGCCACAGCCCCAAGCCACCCTCCCTCTGGCCCTGCTCTGCCATGTAGGCACCAAGTCCTCGGCGGGCAGAGCTCCAGGGTGCAGTGGGTCTAGTCCCCATACGAATCAGCCACTTCCTGTCTAGGACTCCAGGAGGTGTGTCTGACCCTGCACCGTGACCCTGGCTCAGCCCCTGACCTACCCCCCTAAACCACAGCAGATCTCAGCTGGGTAGCTCCTTTAGCGCAGAGACTATTTATTCTCAGAATCCTTCCTCACATCCTGGTTGACTTGTTAACAGCTCTGCTGAACAAATGAGTGACCACATGAAGGTGAAGGGATGGGGTGAATGGATGGATGGATGAACGAATGAATGAATGAATGCACATTGCCGACCCAGATGTGCCCTGCCAGGCTGGGCTTCAGGCAGCAGGCAGAAGGCCTGGGGGCCTGAGTACCCTGGTTGCCTGGTTACAGGACACACACACACACACACAGACACACACACACACACACACACACACAGAGCCCTAGGGAGCATTCCCACTGCGCTCAAGAGCCCTCCTTCCCCACTTCTCACAGGTCTTTGATCAGTGCTTCAGAAACACTCTGCCACAGGGAGGAAGGCGGGAGGCAGGCCCTGGCGGGAAGGAGGATCTGCTCCTGATCTTTCAGCCCCTCCTGCTTCCCTCTGTGGGCTGAGAAAAGAATGGCTGGCCTGGGACAAGAGTGACAGAGTGACTGCAGTCCCTCACATCAGGTCTGGGTGGGGGGAGCTGAATTCCCTGAGTGGGAGGGCCCCAGACTGGGCCTGGCCACACCCCAGCTCCCAACACCTCCCCCAGCTGTGCCCACCGGTCAGCCACTTGGGTTCCCAGGTCTGAGCACAAGTGGTTTGCCTTTCTGACAAGCTCTGCCCTGAACAGGGCCTCAGTCAGCTGCTCCCAGGGACCTGCTAGGTCCAGACCCATAGGAGGGAGGAGCCATACTAGAAGCTGGGCCCCTACCCCTCTGCCTCCCCACCTCAGCCTCAGCTTCTCTCCTTGTTATGCACTCCAGGTGGGCTCCAACCTTCTCTCACCAAGAGCCAAGTGGCTGATGGCCACCAGGGCCCGGTCTCCTTGTCTCAGGCTGCGATACAAATTCAAATCCAGTTAGGACTCCAAACATGTCCACCAGCTCAGCTGTTGCCCCCTACCTGGACAGAACCAACCCTGACAGGGGCCACAGGATGGGAAGGAGGGACAAGAACCACCCCTTTTTAAGGCCACCCTTGCTCCTGTCTGGTACCCAGGCAGGAGTGTCACATCAGAGCCCTGATCTTCCCCAACCCAACTCAAGCTAAGCCAGGAAGCCTACAGCAGTCAAATTGCACCCCCATCAAGGCACTGGGGGAGGGGAGGGCGGGACGGAAAGGAGACCCAGGTAAAACACAAGACTTGGGCCACTTGAGCCGGCAGGGTTTCCTTCCTTCTGGGGATGGGCAGCTGGCCAACCCCTCACTGGAGGTGGGGAAGGGTCAACAAGGGAATAGAGTCAGCTCTCGGACAACTTCAGCAACATTAAGTTGGTCCCTGGGGCCCTATTCATGCTTTCTGGGGGACACCAGTAGGAGAGAAAAGGGTGTATGGCCAAGAGAGGTATGGCTGAGGCCTCATCTCCAAAGACTGTCCAAGCCCCTAGCTCGGGCCATGCACCAAGCAAGCAGGAGCCCCCTGCCAACAACTTGGAGGAAAGCAGCCTGCCCCAAGTTGCCATTCATAAACCACAGAAACAGCCTCTGCACCCCTCACACCAGTGCCCTTCCCCCACACCAAACACTCTCCTTTTCAAAGTAAAAGCACCCACCAAAAATAAATAATAAATACCCCTACACAGAAGCAATGGGAAGCAGAGGGCAATAAGGTAGTTGAAAGAGGCCAACAGAGGGGAGGAGAGAGAGGGGGAGGCGACAGCGAGGAGAGGAGGCAGGAGGAAGTGAGAAGCTGGGTCTAGGCTTAGATACAGCCCAGTATTTCCAGCGGCTCCTGCTGCTGCCCTGTTGATAACTTCGACAATAGCAGGGGAGCCGCCTGCCCCTCAGCGGCCACCACTGGCCTGCTGCTGGGATGCCAGCAGCCCTAAGGGGTGGGGGCTGCAGCAGGCAGGGCTGGACCCAGGGACCTGCCAGGCAGCCTACTGGCAAGGAGCCTCGAAATCACAGATGCATGATGTTGGGCCACAGGCAGGCAGCCGTGCACCTAGACACACAAGGCTCCAGACCAGGTCCTGGGGCATCCGTCCCGTGGCAGGGCGGATGGTCCCTTGGAGGGTGGCTCACCCCGAGCTTCCTGCTCTTCATCTTCACGTAGCCTTGCTTGACGATGTCATTGAAATTGGTCGCCATGGTTTCCCCACTGCCTTTGGGGCTCAGGCCTGGCCAAGGCGAGGAGGAAGGATGGCCAGGTGGCCTCGGTTTCCGGGCTCCGCCAATCACCTGTTCCAGACACTCCGTGGGGCTGCCCAGCCGGCTGCTCCTCACCTCGTCCGCCTCAGCATTGTTCTAGTGGCTCTTTTGCCTGGCGCCTGCTGGAAGTACAAATGACAGGGAGATTAGACAGTGACATCTTTCTCTTTCCCTGGCTGTCTCCCTCTTTTTTTCTTCCTCTTCCCACACTCCTCCCTTCCTCCCTCCCTCCCTCAGCCCGCCCTTCTTCCTTCCCTTCCCTTCCCTCCCCACCCCAGGATGGCAGAACCATTCAGGAAAACCTAGGTGGAGGCAGCAGCAAGGAAAATGGTCCAGCCCAGTCCCCTCCCTCCCGGCTGGGGCTGGCAGTTAACCCCTTCCTGGCAGGACTGACACTGGCTCCCACTCTAGAGGTGGGGGCCCGGGGAGGGAGGTGGCTCTGAAGCTGAAGTCCGGCCCTGTCTCCTGTTACAACTTTGGGGTCCACTTGTCCAGGGCAAGGCCTCCTCCCTGTGTGCAGGAGCCCCACAGGAGAGCCTTCCCAGAGTTGGGGAGTCCCCAGGGGACAGCACAGTCTGGTGTCTGAGTGAACCTCACACTCCCTGAGGTTGACAATCTGCTTTTCAGTCTCAGCAGACCCCCAAAGCCTCTGTCCCACCCCACCCTATACCTGGTTTTCTCCACCTCCACAAGGGAGGCTGAGAATCAAGCCCCCTCAGGCCCTGCTCCCAGCCCCTGGAGCTCTTCTACCCTGGAGTTCCTCTGGGTGCTGCTTCCTGGGTGGGAGGGCAGAGTCCAGAGGGGGCGGACCCCCAGATAAGCCTGAGGAATGTGCCAGACCAGCTGGAGGTGCTGCTGTGGAAGCTCATACCTCCCCCTGGCCCTGGTGCTGGGAAGACCAGGCTGCTCTGTGAGGATGCCAGGTCTGGCCAGGCCATGCAGCACTCCTATGTCCTAAGCATGAGCAGGGAGACTTAGCAATCACCTGGCCTGGGGCAGAGGACACAGCCAGACGACAGGGAGGGTCACCAAGGGGAAGTCAGTTGGCACAGGAAATGAGCGTACCAGCAGGGGCCACTCAGAATCAGGCAAATAAACAGATAATGAAGACTCAGACTCAGAAGGGGGTTTCTCAGCAATGACCCAGTCTACTAACACCCATTTCACAGATGGAGAAAAGAAAGTTGCTCGGAGAGGATAGCAGCATGGCTAAGGTCATTCAAGTCTGGGACACAGCCACAGATGAGGAGGAGTTCCAGAGTGGGTGATGGAGGCAGGCTTGCGGGTGGAATGTTCTGCAGCCACCTCTGGCTGCCTGCCACCACCTAAGCCGTCTCCACCATCCAGGCCCAGAGGCAGGTCTGTGCCAGCAACACGGCCCCCCAGTGTCTCCAGGATTGCTGGGTGGGAATGGAGCAGCATTTCTTGGGTCAGCTGGGCACCTATGCTGCCAGGATGGAGCCCTGGGGCAGGCATGCTACTGGACCTGCCAGCAGCGTGGCAGTAATTAATCTTCTGGAGGCCTGTCTGTTGAGTCCCTAACAAGGAATAGATGGGACTACTCCAGGGGCACTTGCAAACAAGGGGAGAGGCAGAGAGGGCATTGCTTCCCTATCCCACCTGCACCCTGACAGCCTTTCCAGGACTCCCCTCGGATGCCTCCCTGCCCATTCACTCCCTCTATTCCAGCCCGCTGGGATCCAAGACCCTCCTAAATGGGACACCCAAGTGATCTGCTTTCCTCCTGTGAAATGTGGTCTGGGGTCCCCTCCCTAGCACTGACCCCAAACAGCCCTGCCTCACCTGGGTGCTGGCAGTCAGAGATGGGTATATTTTCCCAACCCTGTATCTACCGCCTGCCTCTGGGGCTGCCTTGCCGCCACAGCAAGGACCGTTCTGTAAAATTCCCCTCTACATGAGAGCAGACTGGCCACTGGCTGTGGCCCACATCATGGAAGGCCCCGTTCAGAACATACCTACAAGAAAACAAGAGGCCCCTGGATTCATTCGAGGCAGTCCAGGATGTGGCACAGCCAGGAAGGTGAATCCAGCTGACCAGATGGTTCTGGGCAAGCCCTTTAACTTCTCTGTGCCTTAGTTTCTCCAACAGGATGGGGGGGGGGGAAAATGAGGCTAAATCTCCCTACTTTAAATGAAGAAATAAACCGTTGAGACATCTGCCTGCCCATTTTGGACCCAGAGCTTCTGCCTCAAAAGCAAGGCCTTCTTTTATTTCAACAGCTACTGCCCAGCCAAGGGCTGTGAAACCACCATAATCCAGCCTCCTGCCAGCCCAATGCAGGCCTCCCCTTCATGGCTCCACCAGTTACCTTCCCAGTGGGTTGCCAAGCTCTCAAGAGCGCCCCTATCATGTCTGTTCATAGGTCCACACTCGTCCCCATACCTCAGGGTCTAGAATCAGCCCCGCAGACATAAACCAGCAGAAGAGCAACCTTCCCCTGGAAGTCTGGGTGGCACGAGGCCTGGCAGCTCACTCTGGCCCCAGTCCCAGGGACTCCTGGCCATACTCAGTCCCTAATAAAGTTTGCAAGAACAAGACCCTGCCTGGTACCCAAACTGGTACAGCAAAGGGGAGTTGAGGAGGTAGGGAGAGAGGGGGAAGGGCCAACAGATGGGCCCACAGATTTGACAGACAATAGGATAAGGTGTGCGTGGGGGGGGGGAGCCCAGAATCAACCCATTCCCCAGACATTCCCCAGAGTGTTAAGCTGGAGAGGTGGCTCCTGGCTGAGCTTGTGCAGGCCCAATGGAGCCTCAAGGAGTGGAGCCCAGCAGAGCTCAATGGGGCCAGGAACTGAGCAGAGGCAGTCCCTGCTCTGTGGCCCACAGGGCCACTCTCCCCATTGCTCCTAAGGCACCCCCAGTTCTGCCTCTCATAAGCCTGCAGCAGGGAAGAATGCCTCACTAATTCAAGAGGCCGAGGTCTCAGACCTGTGAGCTCAGCTCTGAGCACCCAAAGCAGCTAAGCAGGGTGCCCAGCAGCCCCCTCAACACTGCAGGAGGCAAGGGGCTACCCCCATTCTTCCTCCCTGCCTGGCATCAATGTCTCTGCTCAACCAGAAACAGTATCCGCCCTGAGCCAGGCACCCACAGGCTCCTTCATGCAGAAAGCAGGACTCTGAAACGCCTCTCTCCCCAGGAAGGGCAGGTGGGCTGTGGGGAGGGGGTAAGGAGACTCCCTGGTGCCCAGCAAAGGGGTGGGGCGGCCCCCTGCCCCATGGGGCAGCCACTAAGCACTCCCTTCCCGCACCTGAATTCTGCCTGGAGGCTTTGGCTCCAGAACAAACGCCACTCGCTGCTGTTAGCAACCAATTACTGAGCAGGTGCGGCTGCCTGCCTGGCTGGGCCTCCACACCTATGACAAATCGGATCTTATCAGGGCTTCAAGAATAGCCCTACCTGGACATGGCCTCACAGCTCACAGGGCCTGACCGCCGCCACACCATGGCAGTGATCCTATCAGCAGGATTGTCTCCAGCACCCAGAGATATTTCCCACCACCAGGGTCTGGCCCTCTCTCTGCCAGGGCGATTGTTATCAAGGAATGGGTATTCCCACCCCACCTGCCTCCTGCCTCCACGCATGCAAATCCCCATGAGGAACCACCACCTAAACACTGCAGGTCTCATCCAAGGTGGGTGGCAAAGACAGATCAAATACCCAAAGGGACAGAGCAGACAGTGGGAGGAGGGGACAGCTGAACAGCAGCAGTCTCCTGGGCCCTCAAGTCAGGAAAGTGGTGCTATGCCTCCACACCACCGCCATTCTGTTCTCTACCCGGGTCCCCTGCCCACCCCTCCAGCTTCATCCTTGCCCTGCTCAGTATGCTGGCCATGCTGGCATTCTTTCTAATCCTCATCATGCCTAACTCCCTCCCATGAAGGACCCCACTTGCAGTTCCCCGCTTATAACATTGTTCCTTCAGGTGATCCCAAGGTTCATTCTACCACTTCATTCAGTTCTCAGCTCAAAGGCCACCTCCTCAGAGAAGCCCTCCCTGACCACCCTGGCCAAAGGAGCCCTGCCAGACAGCCTCTATCACAACACCTAGTTTCAGCCTTTGTCACACAGATCACTACAGGATTTTCTTGTTCTTTCATCTGTTCATTTGCTACTGGGCCATTCTGTTTCCTCAAATGCTCTAGAATGGCAGCTCCCTGGTGCTCAGCCTTGTCTGTCTAGTTAACAGCCCCATCCAAGCACTTAGGATGGTGTCTAGCGCAGAGTAGGTGCTCAATATATGGAGACTGAAAGCATAATTTTCTCCAGGATTTGCCCTCCTCACCACCACCAAAATCCACCCGGCGGGACCCCACTAAACTTCCAGAGGCGTGTGAGCGGCTGCAGGCTCCCACCTCCCTGGATCCCAGGGTCTTCCCAGTGCTGTTTTGGCCAGCAAATTGTCATTCCTGGAGAACCAGTCAGGCTCCAGACCCACAGTTTGGTTCAAAGCTGCCTCAGGGGAGAAAGCACTGCTGAGCCTGGGTCCAGGCCTGACAGGGCAGCCCCACCTCTGCCGGGGCTGCTGGGTGAGGTCATGCCCAGCCCTGCTGCCCTGGAAGGGAAGAAACCAGAAGCAGCCAGCACCCAGGCACAGAGAGGCAAGCACCTGGGTGGAGGGGGGCAGCTTGTAGGACATATCCTGAGTGAGGTCTGGGACAGGAATGGCCTGCGCAGGAGTCACATCTCTCTGAAAGGGACAAGAAGAGAATCTGCACTAAAGGCCAGCCTCTAAGTGCTGCTGTGATCCTGCCAGGCCCCTCACTGCCCTTGATTTTCAGACCCCTACTCCCCAAAGCCTCCACCCAAGTGTCCTGACAACTGCCATGCACCCAGCGCTTGGGACAAGCAGGCTGCGTGGAGGCCGTGCTCTGCCCACATCAGCCAGGTGCTCAGCCTCCGCTCCTGCCTCTCTGCGCTGACAGGAAAGCATTTAACTGGAAGCAGGACCTTGGGGGCTCTGGGGAAAGATGGACAGGACCTCACTCCAGGGGAGAGAGGTTCAAGGAAAGGAGGCAGCTGGCCATGAGTTTGAAGTTGCAGGAATAGGAACCATTTGCAGGTGGGGGTGGGCAGTGGGGGTAATTAGGATGCAGAAAATAGTCTCTTGGAATTCGGGGGAGCTGTGAGAGCAGCAGGCCACGGGGAGCAGGAAAGTGGGTGGACGACAGGGGCTGCGATGGGCTGGGTTATGCCCCTTGGGATGGCAGGCCCCGGGAGCAGGGAGCACAGGGGCCTGGGCTTCTCGGACAGGTAAATGTGGGGCAAGCGTGAGGTCGGGTCGACCTGGCTTCCCTGGATAGAGAGCTGGGGGGTAGGTGGAGCTCAAGGGATAGTTTCAAGGGCCAGGGCTGGTTTTCGGGAACGGGTCCCTGGGGCCTCCCGACATGGGAGGAAAGTCCCATGGGCTTGGAGAGTTGTGGGGTCGGAGTCGCCGGGGTCTCGCCGACTCGGACGCGGCCTGGGGGAGCCCCTCCCGGGGGGGCCCCTCCCCGCCTCCCGTCCCTCTAGTTACCTGGGCGCCGCGCCCCGGGCCGGGGGCGCTCGCTCGGCAGGCGGCGGGCCAGGCTCATGCCCGCGTCAGGGCGGCGGCGGGGCCTCCGGGCGGGGACGCGAGGGAGGCGCGGTCGCCGGGCTCGGTCCCGGAGGGCAGCCGGCTGCGCTCCTCCGCCCGCCGCGCGGCTCCCGGCACCGCCCCCGCCGTATTCCTCCGAGCCGCGGGACACGTGCTTCCGCCCGGCCACCCCCAGCTCGCCTCCGCTGCCCCTTCTGGCGGCCCTCGGTAACCCCGGCTCAGCCCCACCGCCCCGCCCAGGAGCCCAAATCCCAATCTCACATCGCCTCTCAGACCCTGAAAGCTGAACCCCACATTAGCTCCTAGCCTCCAAACCTAACCCCCTAACTACTGCGGAAATCACCCACACACACCCATCGCTCCCCAATCCCATGGGTGATTCCCAGGGCCCTCCACAGTCCTGCCTCCCCGACCTAGCAGTCTGCTGACCTCCTTCCTCCCCTGGCCTCCCCTCCACCCTCCAAACACCCAGTTCTCCCATTCTGCACCCCCTGAAACTGCCCTCAAGTCCAAGCCACATTCGCATTCATCACCCCGCAGAGCGCAGAGCGCGAGCGCATGCACACACACACACATACAAACACCCCGCACTGCCCCCCTAACCCCAACTCCCTGGGGCTTGAACAGGTGCTTTGTCACTACCTTGCTGGAGTCATCAACCAAACCGCCTGCCTCCTCCCGGCTGCGCCAGGTGGGAGAGGGAAGTTGCCTAGGACCTGCCCTGGAGAACAAACTGCCTCTCCTCTCAGTTTTGCTGGTCACCCGTCAATACCAGTGGTTCTCCAAGTGTGCTCCCTGGGCCCAAGGACCAGCATTTGCATCACTTTGTAACAAATGCAAATTCGCTGCTCCACCCTAGACCCATGAAATCAGAACCTCCAGGAGGAGTGCCCAGAAATCTGTGTTTTCACAAGCTCTGGGTAATTCTGAAGACCACTAAGCCACTGCTTTAGACCAAATAATACAAAACAACTGAAATCTTAAGAAATGAAAATGTCAAGTCCAGCCCTCTTCCAGGATTCCTCAGAGGGACAGACCTCATGCTGGACGGCAGTGCTCACCCAGTGGAGTCCATGCCCCTGCCTCCCAGACATGGGGCCTCAGCCTTGCCTGGGCTTGCCCAGGGGATTTCTTCCCTTGCCCTGAAAATTTCCCTGGATGGTGAGTGTGGTGACCACCAAGTGAGCCCAGAGCCTCCCAGCAGCCTCGCGGTCTGGGCCTGAGCTAACCAGCCCAACACAGTCAGTGACTGGCCTGAGCCTCAACCTCGTGACCTCCCTCCCCTTGCATCCTTCAAACTTGACCCCATCTGTTTTGCTTCAAACCACAGCCCATAAAGCCCCTAGCATCTGATCCATCACAGCAAACTGTTTTCGCCACAAGAAACCTCTGGAGGACTTTTAGCCAGCAACAATTGTGCGCTTTCACAATCAAAAAGCATCTTCTTTTGAGTGGGGTTTCCCAAACTTCTTCATTCTCTCATCCTCATAATTGCCCAATCTACTCTCTGTCTGTACTGTTGCCACTTATTTTTTTAATTAAACTTTTTATTTTGAAATACTGGAAGATTCACATGCAGTTGTAAGATGCAATACAGGGATCCATGTACCTTTTCCCAGTTTCCCCAAATGGTAACATCTTGCAAAACTAGACTACAACATCACAACCCAGATATTGATATTAAAACAGTCAAGACAGGGAGCATTTCCACAACCACAAAGATCCCTCATTATTCCCTTTTATAGCCAAACCCACTTCCCTCTCTCCTTCACCCTTCCTTACCCCCTAGCAACCATGTATCTCTTCTCTATTTCTACACTTCAGTCATTTCCAGAATGCTATGTAATTGAAAAAGTAAGTATGTAATCTTTGGGGAATGGCTTTTTTTCACTCAGCATAATTCTTTGGAGCTTTATCCAAGTTGTTAAATATATCAGTAGTTCATTCCTTTCATTGCCAGGTAGTATGCCATGGTATGGACATACCACAGTTTGTTTATTTGTACACCAATTGAAAGATCTGGGTTTTTTCCAGTTTTTGGCTATTATGAATAAAGCTGCTATAAGCATTCATGTACAGGTTTTTGTGTGAACATAACTCTCTATTGCTCTGGGATAAATGCCTGGGGGTGAAATTACTGGTTCACATGGAAATTTTATGTTTTGTTAAAAACCTGCCAGATTGTTCTCCAGAGCGGCTGTACCACTTTGAATTCCCACCAGCAGTGTATGATGATCCAGTTTCTTTGCATCCTTGCCAGCATTTGCTGTTGTCTCTTTCTTCTCCCTCCCTCCCTTTATTTTCCTTTCTTTTTTTCTTTCTTTCTCTTATTAAAAACCATTCTGATATGTGTGTAATGATATCTCATTGTGATTATAATTTGCATTTCCCTAATAGCTAATATTGTTAAACATCTTTTCAAGTGTTAATTTGCCATCTGTGTATCTACTTCAGTGAAATGTTTCTTCATGCCTTTTGTGCATGTTCTAATATGCATTTTTGCTTTTTTTGTTGTTGAGTTTTGAGAGTTCTTTATATATTCTAGATACTAGTCCTTTTTTCACTGGGTATGGAATTCTGGATTCATAGTTTTTTTATTTCAGCACTTGAAAGATATTGTGGCCCTTCCTTCAAACTTCACTGTTTTCTGATGAGAAATTTATTATTGTCATTTGAGGTATTTTTTCCTCTCTATATAATAAAATGTTGTTTTTCTCTGGATTCTTCCAAGGTTTTTTTCTTTAGTTTTCAAGAGTTTAATTATGATGGGCCTCAGAGTGGCTTTCTTTGGATATTCCGTTTTAGCATTCATTCAACTTTTTGAATCTGTAGGTTTATATCCTTCACCAAATTTGGGAAGTTTTCAACCATGATTTCTTCAAGTACTTTTTCAACTCTGCCCTCTTTCACCTCTTCTGGGACTCTGACCTTTTGTTATCATCCCACAAGACCCCGAGACTCTGTTCCTTTTCATTTTCTTTTCAGTCTATTTTCCCCTCTGTTGTTCAAATTAGAAAATTTCTATTGTTCCATCTTCCAGCTCACTGATTTTTCCCTGTCTCCTTTATTCTCCTGCTGAATCCACCCACTGAGCTTTTATTTCTGTTACTGAATTTTTCAGTTCTAAAATTTCCATTTAGTTCTCTTTATGCCATCTGTGTGGTTGCTGAAACTTACTATTTTTTTATTTGTTTCAAGCATATTTGTAATTGCTCATTGAAGCATTTTTATCATGGATGCTTTAAAATCTTTATCAGAGAATTCTAACAGCTCTGACATATCAGTGTTGGAATCTATTGATTGTCTTTTATTTGTTGGAGATATGATTCTTAGTGTGAATGACTTTTCAAAATCTGGACACTTTCATATTATGACTTGAGATTTATTTAAGCCTTCTATTTTAGCTGGTGTCCTCTGATACTGCTCCAGCAGGGTTACAGCCAGGTGGAGGTAGAAGTCTAGGTTCTGTACTTGGCCCCTATTGACCCATAGGGGGGCGGTGCTCCTCATTGCTGTTGGGCAGGAGTGTCCTCTACTGACACCACAGTGGGGGTGGCCTTATTGCCACTGGGCAATGGTAGAAGTCCTGACCGCCCACTAAATTGCCTCTGACACATCAGAGGGGAGAAAGAGGGACATCTCCTTACTGTCAGGTCAAGTGGAAGTCCAGGCTCCTCATGTCTGGCTCTACTGACACCACAGCAGAAGAGCCTCATTGTTGGCTGGGAACCTTGTCATCATCGCCTGCTAAAGGTGGGAGTTTAAGCTCTCCATTCAGCTTTTGCTGGCGGGGATGGGACCACAGTTTTTTCTGTGGTTTCTGGTTGGAATAGATGATTCGTATCTAAAGGTTTTCTGTCTTACCAGGGTGCCCCATTCCTGGCCCTTTGGCGAGAGAGAGCAGGCTCTTGTTGGAGCTTTTTTGTCTGTGCCCATTGGCATTTCCAGGTTTCTGCCTTCAGCTCCGAGCACACAATATGTGAGTGTGCAAAAGGAAAACCCAGGCACCTAACCACTGTGTCCTTGCTTGGGTCCCACGTTTCCTAGCCTGCCTGCCTTTTCCTCGCCACCTTTCAGAGTCTTCCTCTTTTCGTTTTACACTTAACTTCCAGGATTTTTAGTTGTACTTAGTGGGAAAAATAGAGAAAGGTAGGACTATGCTTTCTTTCCAAAGGCAGAAAGCCAACTCACTTGTAAAAAAAACATAAACATCACCCCTTCTCTGCCCTTGAACTAGGCAATACTATTCATCAAATCATAGGATGGTGCCAGATTTACATGTATATATATATAATGTAATACATATGTATATATATAAGCTTTATTGGAGTATAATTGACATACAATAAACTTCACATACTTAAAATGTACAGTGTGGTGAGTTTTGACATAGGTATGCCTATCAGCACAACCAAGGTAGTGAACATACCCGTCATTCCATAGCTTCTTCCCTCCCCTGCATTCCTCCCCACTCCTCCCCAACCCTCCTCCGTCCCCAGGCTATCACTGGTTTGCTTTCTGTCACTAAATATTAGCTTGCATTTTTTTTAACTAATTTTATACATATATATATATATATACATTTAGTGAAATACAACAGCAATAAAAGGTATGAACTACTGATATACACAACATGGAAGAATTTCAAAATGACTATGCTGATTGAAAGAAGCCAAACAAAAACAAGTCTAAATCCACACACACACACACACACACACACACACACACACACACACACACACACACTATAATTTATTCAACACATGCATATATACTATATATTACATTTCAAAATATTGAACTGTTTCATTGATGTGCTAAGTAAAATTAAGCACTTGCAAAAGAGTACTCTAAAAAAACTTCCTAAGTTCCATTTTCCAAATCTGAACTCGGAAGTTGCACCCAGAAGGTGTCCATTCAACCCTGAGGTGAGGGGGAGTCTGGGGTGCTGTGGATTACCAAGAAAAGCCTGAAATGGAGACTGGAGGGCACTGCTGTGAGGCCACTGGCAAATCATCAGGGCCCTTGTGTTTCAAATAATGGATAGGATCAGGGCTGTCTCCAAATTTATGGGCGAATGTCCCACTCTGT